AAGCTTAAGATCCATCGCAGCAGCTTGCGAGCTCAGGCTTACATAGCTCATGGCAAATTCGGCCCCTTTCGTTGCAAGTGTATACTGGTTGAAGACCTGGGGGCTGAGCTGCTCGTAGCAAGCATTGAAATATTGGGTTGCTGCCAAGAGGGTCTGCTCGAACTCGTTGCTAGGATCCATGAGGCTCTGGCAAAGAAGCATCGCGAAGGGCACAAGGGCCCTGGATTCAGCTGCCTTCGCCCTGAGTTTTGCAAAAGGTTTCCCCTCAGGCTTCAACATGCTGGGTTTGAGCTCGCGGAGTCGACTTGTTACCTCATTGGAATTGTAGTAGGTCCGCATCTCCCGGTGCAAATTCCGGCATCGTTCAGCAAAACTGTTGCCTGGCATGTGCTTGTCGCAGATATATTTCAAGGTGCTGCCAATAAAGTCCAAAGCTATGCCCAGGTCCGAGACATGCAGCCAATCAAGCTGAATAATTGACAGCTTAAAATGGACACCCCAGCAGGGGCGATTTGTCCTGCAAAGAACAAAGGGCTGACCAGTGGTTGTGTCTATTTTCGGGTCGCAACCAGAAAGCCGAGGTCGACACCTCGTGAACCCGATCTGGCACCATTGTGCAGTACCAACAGCAGCCTTTATTTTCGTTCCTTACTTAAGCTTAGGATTATATAACAATATATATATAATACACATATACTATATATAAGCTTGATCATAAGAAAAAACATATAGACATTCAAACAAATGCATTATAGGAGGATCGACATGATCCTCCTGGCTGCGAGCATCAATCAGCCAAGCCACCATGCAGGCAGGTACAATGTCTGCTTGAAGAATGCCCAGTCACCTCTGACCTGCCCCAAAATCGCTCGAGGACAGGGCTTGCCTTCAAGCCGGGCGCGCCACCCGTCTGTAGCATGCCACGGTGAGCCATCGTGTCGATGGCTGGGGAAGACACCTGCAGCAGCGAAACGAAAACTCCAGGCCACAACCTCCATGATGCAATTCCAGGTCGCGTTTTTGACCATGAGGTGCTTCTGGACGAGGCAGAGCGGGAAACGAGTGTCCGATCTAGAGCTACAGCTCAGGACATTCATCGAAAGGACTTCCACCACTTGGGTTCGGTCCCTGTTTAAAGGGGTTCCATCACCCCAGAGGCCCACGGAAATGACATCCTCTGTGCCAACCTGAAGGAAGGCGGCAGCTCGTCGGAGGAATGCCTCTTCGTCTGCTTCCAGTGCATCTCTGTTTCGAAGACTAGCAGGATCATGAGATTTCTGGTCGAGGCAATATAGGAGCTCGTGAGGGAGCCACATGATGATGTCTCCCTGTTCTTCTCTCTGCTCCTTATGATTCCACAAAGGTACTTGGAGGACTTGGAGGACGTATTGTTTGGGCCAGTGTCGATTTACCTTCATATTATTCAGCAGCTCTTTGTGTCGAGCTGTGCTGTCACTGCGTCTCGTACCAACACGAGCAAGATGATCGACGTGAGCACTGCCACTGGCCTCAGCATCACGAAACAAACGACCAGTCTCTGCTGCAGAGATGGCATTGTTCAGGAACAAATTCCCCAACCTTTTTCCGAGTCGTCTCTTCGGGTCGACATGGCTCAAATGAATTTGAGATCTTTTGTTGGAATTCATAGCAGCTGCATATATATACTCTATCATGCAGTGCACGGTCGATCAGTCGCATTGAAAGACAAGAACACGGAGTCCATGGATCCAAAAGCGGGCACCCTCCTTTTTGTTCTGCACTGCACACCCTCGATCCAAAAACATGTATACACGAATGCCCGGCCCGAGCAGTACTATAGGAGTCGATCATCGAAATGGAGCCGATTCTGCCAGCAGCATCCTGGCGGACGATCGACTCCTTCCTGCAGATCTTACAATTCTCAGGAAGACGGGCCTTGTCGATACCATCGATGTTCTCGAGGGCGAAGTCGTCTCCAGATCCTTCGACATGATTGAAATCACTGTGGATCATCGTATGTGCATCATGATATGTTAACATGTAGCAGCAAATGTTTTGCAAAGCTCTTTCCAAAAAGCAGAGCTGGCGATTCATATGTATGTGCCGTATTTACAGCTCCAAAATGGCTTTGGCCTTCTTCCTTTGGGCAGCATCCTGGTGCACTGCACCCTCAGAAATGCATTCGGCCACCTGAGCCTTGAGCTCTTCGGTGACGTCAGTAACAGAGCGCCAGGCATGCAGCTTACTGCGAATTTGACCCAACCATGTGTCGAGCTCGGTGAGAGCAGTCTGCAAATCCGTCTGGACATCCTCTTTTTTGTGTTTGGCCCTGGCCAGCAAATCCTTCAAGACGATCTCCAGCTTCTCAAGCTTGCTCTTGCCCGACATGAGCACCCCGACCTGATTCTTGAACTCGACGAGTTCGGGGTTGGTGACAGTAATGCCTGCTGCAGACGACGAAGCTTCGTCCATCAGCTTTGCCGCCTTGTCCTTGTCCTGCACATCGAACCCACCCATGATAGTGTCGGTCTCCTTCCGAGTGAACTCTGTCTCGGTGTGCTTTCGCTTCCCATAATGAAATCGTTTCTCGCCGGCCTTGTGCAGACCACGTTCCCTGGCACTGTTGGTGTCCCACTCATAATCATACGGGGTTTCGGCAAGGATTGCATTCAGGATTTTCTTATGGTCCTTGTCCTCCCAATTCAAGCCCTCGTGCGTCGCAATCTCGAAGCCTGCAGTGCCAAAAGAAAAAGGTGCCTCCTTATTATAGCAGACCCAAGGGTGCATGCCAACCCCAAGAGAAACAGCTCCACATGCCGCCCAGACACGAGTCATGTAACCAGCCAGGTGGCCCTCTGTCGTCTTAACCTCATTCTCGTGCTGTTTGGTTCTCTGAAGCCAAGCCTTGCCCGTCCTGTCCCCGGCCCAGCTGCCGAGCATCATCATTTTTTCGTGATTCTGCGACCTAGCGAGGCCACTGTACTCCAAGTAGAATTTGACCTTTCCCTCTAGGACCTCGGCCTCTTGCTGGGACAAAGTCAGGGAGCCAGCCTTGTATTCCTTTAACTTTTTCACGTTGGCCTTCCCTTGTGTCACCAGGTTGCTCTGCATCTTTTTCACGTCTGCAGCACTTACACCTGCCAAAGGGCCATCCTCGGCGTCGGATTCTGTTTTGACCTCGGGCTTAGAGTTCTTGGGGCTGTTCTTGGGCTTGGGGCTGCTCTTGGCAGCCTTGGGTGCGGGTTTGGCCACGGGTTGCCCTCTCTTAATGCCGGCCACGAAGACCAAAGACCAGCAAGGCAGCAAAGATGTCAGCCATGAGAGCAAAGCCATCGTGGCCAGGAAACACAGCAGCTATATGATAGCTACAATCGAACTGCACTACAGAAATGCTCGTGCCGAACATGTGCATGATCGATTCCTGTGTCTTGGGACAACCAAGACAAAAGGAGTTAAACAGGAGTTAAGTTTAACTCCAACTTAACTGCTGTTTAACTCCTATTTTAAATTAAAAACAAAAGGAAAAAGCCAGTTAAATAGGAGTTAAGTTGGAGTTAAGCTTAACTCCTGTTTAACTCCTCTCAACCCCGAAACGTTTGCATTCCAATTCGCTGTGCCTGGCCTGCATGCCCACACATCTCGAGGAAGACACCTCGTTACTTTGTGTTAAGGACTTTATGGGTTTAGGTGTTTAAGGCTTTAGGGCCTTCTAGGGGTTTGGGGGTGGTTTAGCGGTTTAGCGGTTTAGAGGTTTAGGGCTTTAGGGGTTTAAGGGTTTAAGGGTTTAGGGGTTTAGGGTTTAAGGTTTTCGTTTGTAGGTTAGCGAGGAACATATCAAGGAGGCACTGGCGGCAGCTCCTGAAAGGGTTTCGGGTTTCGGCTTTAGGGGTTAAGGGTTTCGGTCGGGTTGAGGGTTTAGAGGGCTTAGGGTTTTAAAGGGTTTAAGGGTTTAAGGGTTTTAATCAATAAGGAGGTTTCTGCTTTTGAAGACACGGACCTCCTGTGTACAGTAGCACAACCATGCACAAAGAAACAAAAGGAGGGCACGAGCGGCACCTCCTGTGGTGTCATTGAAGACGAATTCCTTCCATGGATGATCATGGGAACAGAACGATTCATGCACACTAGCAGCACAACCAGGAAAGAACAATTGAAGGAGGCTCTAGCAGCAGCTCCTGTGTTGTCGAACATGCACATCCAGGGCGTGTCCTGCAGGTCAGAAATCGGATCAAGGCAGCCCTAGTCGTGTTTTGAGTTGCATGATTGAAGCACAACAAGGACAACGATCTTTCTTTTTCAACAGCAAGCCGGCCGTCGATCGATCAGGCCACCACTCCGTCCCCAGCACCATCGGGGCCGTCATTGCGAGGGTCTCCTGGCGGCTTCCACAGGACCACAGCATACGGGCCGGGATCCTCCATCTCCTCTTCTTCCTCTTGCTCGATGTCGCCAACCCCAGCCCCACCAGCATCGTCGGATCCCCATCGCTGGTCGCCCTTCCACTGCTTCCCCTTCTGCCGGTTGGCCCAATAAACCTTCCTCTTCAGGCCTCCAGGGATCCGAATTTTAGCATTATATATATATATATATATATATATATTATTCATTATATAAAGATATATAAAAGGCTACATTATGTACACATATAGGATTCAGGTTGGTATATATATATAGGAGATCCTCCTATATAGAGTAGGAGACCTCCTGCCTCGGTTCTTCTTCGGCCGGCTGCGGGCCCATGCGATGTTGCTCTTGCACGTCTCAGGGTCGATCATTTTACCTGCCCAGCGTTTGGCATGGTTGAGGTCCTCGTGCTGCAGGTAGCTGTACTTGGTTGCATTCTTTTATAAGACATGCAATCCGGATCCGTCTTTAGGAGACCTCCTATATAATTAATTTTTCTAGGAGATCCATCCTCGAACAATTCCAACATAAAATGCACAGCCATGCATCGGCACAGTCGGTGTTGAGGCAGATGTACTCCCGAAAGTACGAGGTTTGCCCGCAGCTGAGACAAGGCCTTAAGTAGCCAGCATTCGGGGTCGATGACCCCGCAGCCCATGCAGGTGGGAAGGGAGGCTCTGCTGGCTCTGCTGGCACATCGTGGCCGGCCGTGTTTGGAGGTGGAGGACCCGGTGGAGGACCGGTGGAGGACCGAGCGGCTCATTGGGTGGAGGGCCGGGTGGAGGACCGGCTGCACTACCACCGGGTGGAGGACCGGGTGGAGGACCGGGCGGAGGACCGGGCGGATTTGCACCCTGTGCTGCTGGCTGGATCACCACGTTCAAGGTAACCGAGCCAATGCCAGGAATGTCCACCGTCGTGCCTTCCGTGGCATGGGCGTTGGGGGCCACAGGTGCATCGTTCTGGTGGTTCGCTCGGCCCACTTGCTGTGCTGCACCCATGATCGATCGTTCGATATCAAGTGATCGTTGGCTATCAGAATGGCTTTGCTCGAGCCTTGCTATACATGCAAAGGAAAAACATCTGTAGCAATGAGCAGATCGCTCGGCCAGCACTTACACAAACACGGCAGCCAGCTCAATGTGTCAACAGAAGATGCAGCATGGAGTCCTTCTTATAAGGAGGATCGTATAGACATCCTCCTGGAAGAACTTCCAGATATATACCTGCCACGGATCGTGCATTGCATGCACTCACTGCAGATCATTGCTAGGAGTGCTGCATGCATGCACACAGATCTCGATAAGAAAAAGCCGGCACTGCATGCATGCATAGGAGTGCAGAAGGTGCACTTCCTGAAGGATGCGATCGAGCTGTCAAGACAGCATGATCGACCTGGCTCAATGTGTGCATATGCCATACATAACACGGAAACGGCTGCGACTTCATGCAATGCAGTTGCGACTTCATGCATGCCAAAAATCAAAGCCCACAGATGTTTTCGCACTTCTGCAAAACTGTTCTGTAAATCACGAGGAAAATTGCAAGTGACTGCTAGTGCACGCTTCTGCAAAAATGAATGTTAAAATTCATCTATGCATGCACAGCAAACATGTCATGTTCCCGCTTGGACTTCAGATTTCGGAAGCTATGCTGGGACTTCTGCTGCTAGCTCTTGGTCCAGCTGGGACCGAAGAGCCCGGGCTTCTTCATAAGTCATGTCCTGCTCCTGGATCTTGGCCCTCAGACTGTGTGCAAGCTCCACATGATTCGGGTACTTCTTTTCGCTCAATTCAAGCAGGAGCTCTCTCTTGTGATTGTTCGTGGTGCAGCGACAGGCCGTGATGTAGGTCCTGGGCGGCTTGCTGGCAGTGGCCTGCCGAACCGCGTGGAGCTTCCTCTTGGCCATATCGATATCACCAGGGTCGACACATGGATCCTCTGAGCCATCCTTGCTCACCATCGAGTCGGCTGCACTGGGCTTCTTGCTTGGGGAGGCTGGGGTGGCACTTCTGGATTTCACCGGCCGAGACCAAATCCTTGCTTGTAGCACTGCCTTCGCAATCAGCACCCTTCGCCTGGGCTTTCGCCTTGGCTTTCCCCTTGGCTTTCGCCTTGGCATTCGCCTTGGCTTTCGCCTTGGCTTTCGCCTTGGCTTTCGCCTTCGCCTTCGATTTCGGCTTGGCTTTGGTCTTGGGAGCCAAAGCTGCTGCAGGAACCGCTGCCTTGGCAAGGAGATCCTTATGATGATCGAGAACCTCCTGCGGAATGCCAGCAGCTGGATCCAGGCATGCTTGCACTTCACTGCCATCAGAGTAAACTGTTCGTGTTTTGCAAGCGTGAAGATCAGGAAAGCTCAGCAAGGGATGCTTCAAGGGTGCATCTTCCGCCTTGGCACTGCTGACTTTCGAAGGCCCAGGCTTGCTGTGGACTTGCGACTGCGAAGCTTCAGCAGGAGGATTCTCTGAATCCTCCTCGAGATCCAAGGCTTCTGCAGCTTCATCGTCATCACTGCTGTTAATCTGCAGCACCTCGGTCGAGCAAGCCTTGTGGCTCCAGCTGGTGCTTGATGTCGCCGGTGGCTGCAAGCCGTATCTGGCATAGATGTCCTCAGCCGAGCTCGAGGACCTTCTCAGGGGCTTGCTTTTTTTACATCAGGTTCATCCTTGGCCGGATCGCTCATGCTTTTCGCCAGGGCCCTCCTTCCTCGCCAAAAATGTGTCTTGACTGCAGGCTGATCTGCCTGATTCGCAGGGGTCGTCCTGTCCTTTGCCTTTTGCAAAGCCCTGGCAATTCTCAAAACACTAGGAGGAGTCTTTAGCCCCGACGAAATGCTTTTGACCTTAAGACCGCAGACCTGAACAGCGTGTGCGATCTGCCGACCGAACATCTCAGCAGAATGGCCATCCAAACCTTCAAAGGCCTCTATCGCAGCTTTGGAAATCACCGTCTTCACAACTCTCGCTGACACAGCCAAGTAATCGAGAATGAAGGCTTCGTATGCTGTGCACACCTTGACAGGGTCTGTTTCTCGGTAGGCGGTACCAACACCCTGATAGTTAGCCCGAAGCATCTTCTTCACCTCATCGACTGTGGCCGAGTTGCAGACACGAGCTGCACGAGCAGACATGTGCACGACACAATTCCCAAGCAAGGCTAGCTGCAGGGTGCATGTGTCCTTTTACAAAATTAATCGAGCCAAAACGCGGTCCAACAAAATTCAAAACGAGCAATCAACATGCACATGCTGCAAACAAACGAATAACAGGGCCGACCCCCCCCCCCCCCCCCCCCCCCTATAGACAGGAGTGGCCTGCAATCCACGTCCTCGATATCATCGTGCATATGGCCGGCCATTGCATGCTGCACACGATCTCGAGCCGTCTTTGCATGGCTTCGATCGAAGCATGCATATATAATACATGTGTTATATCATGTGAAAAACACCTTAAATAGAGTATGCGAAAAACATGTTTTTAAGGCTTATTGTTTTAAGGGGTATACACTGAAACCATAGACTTTTCGTTTTGGGGGTTTTGGGGTTAAGCTCCTTTCAGGCATCTGGGTTGTCCGTCAGGGCGATGTTGATCTCGTTGATGTCTGCACCGTGGTGCTGTAGGGCACCAGCGCGGCCGCGATGGCGGCGTCCCGGGCAGCGATGGTGCTGTACGCGGAGAGGTCGATGGTCCCCACGGAAGCGGCTATGGCGGCGTCCATCTGCGTCGTGGTGCTGTAGGGCACCAGCGCGCGGCGTCCCGGGCAGCGATGGTGCTGGTCGATGGCCCCCACGGCCGCCGCGATGGCGGCGTCCATCTGCGCCGTGGTGCTGTACGGGACGAGCGCCGCCGCGATGGCCGCGTCTGTCTGGGCGCTGGTGTAGTAGGATGCCAGCGCGGCCGTGATGGCCCCGTTGGTCTCGGCGCTCGTGTAGTCGCTGCCCAGGGTGGCCAGCGCCCAGGACTCGCTGGCCAGGGGCGCCAGCAGGGTATTGACCTCTCCCTGCGTGTATGCATCACAAGCGAGGCTCAACGTGAAGTTGTCGTTCTCCAGGGAGACGCTCAGGGGGGCGCTGAAGTGCCAGTTCCTAATCGTGTTGGTGCCCACGAGGAGGTCCCAGGTCGTCTGCCCGGGCCACGCCTGGGCGTTGGCGAGGTTCGTGCCGCCACCCGTGGTCAGCGCGGCCAGCGCGGAGTTGAGCGCGTCGATGGCGCTCTGCAGGCTCGCCTCGGAGGCCGAGAGGTCCGCGGCCGTGGCGAAGGGCCCCGCTCCCTGCAGGTCCAGGCGCGCGTCCCGCACGGCCAGGAGGGCGTTGAGCCCCGCGGTGTCGGTGTAAGCTGCGAGGGCCGTGGCGAGCGCCGCCGCAACGTCGGCAGCCGTCTGGAAGCCCGCTGCCTGCAGCGCCGCCAGGGCCGCCTCCGCGGCGTCGAGCCTCCTGTCCCGGAGGGCCAGCGCGGCGTCCAGCGCCGTCTGGGCCACCAGGGGCAGCAGGGCGGTGGCGATCTTCTGGTCCACGTCCGCGGGCGTGGTGCGCATGGAGATGGCCTGGGAGACGTCCGCGGCCGTCTGCCGGGCTGCGATGTCGAGGGCCTGCTGATCCTGCGTGCTCTTGAGCCCGTAGTTGGCCGCCACCGTGGCCAGCGTGGCGTGCTCTTGCCGTTCACGTCCAGCTGCAGGGCGTTCAGGGCCGACTGGTTTGCCTTCCCCGCCAGCCCCGTGGTGAGGCTAGTGCTCAGGCTGGTTATGGAGGACTGGTTGGCGGCGATGAGACCCTCGGCTGCTGCGAGGTCGGCCAAAGCATAAGGTGTCAGGTCGGGCGCCGCGGGGATGGCTGCCACCTGCGTCTGCAACGCGGCCACGGCGGCCGAGTTGGTGCCGATGGAGGCGGTGTTGGCGACCGTGTCCGTGAGGGGCGTGTAGGCCGTGAGGACCGTGGCCAGCTGGCCTGCGGAGATGCCCTGCATCTCGATGGTGGTGATGGGGGTCTGGCCATCGTTGAGGATGTTGCCGGTTATGGTGGACTCGAAGAGTGACATTTACTGTACCGCCCGAGACACGGTCCGGGCCACCACGTCCCACTCCTCCGCCACGGTGGGCAGCTCGCTGTCCTCGGCCGCCCGGTCGTAGAAGAGGAAGAGGCGCTGGAACGGTCGCTCCGGTTCCTCCTGGATGAGGCTGTGCAGGAGCTCCAGGAGCTTCGAGTGCCGCGTGTTCTTGGCGGTGCGGACCGTCCGGCCGGCCACTTTAAAACCGTCGGGGTTGTACCTGACGATGGCCAGCTTGTGCTGGCTGCCCAGCGCGACGCTCGCCGCCATGTCGAAGTCTCGGCGCACGTCGCAGCTCGGGTCCTGGTGGGAGTGTTGGTGCTCGTCGACCTCCAGGATGATGGCGCCCCAGGGAGTGTAGAGCACGAAGTCTGCGAAGGCGCGGGCCGTCTCCGACTCCAGCCCGCAGCCGCGAAAGGGCAGGTGGTGCTGGTACTCGAAGATGAGGCCCGCCTCGGTGAGGAGCTGGTGCACCTCCAGTTCCTTGTGCTTGGTCAGGGCCTTCGGGTTGTCGCCGTGAGCAGAGCGCATGTGGCCAAGCAAGGAGTTTGCGCCGGCGAATCGGTGGCCTCGCATGCTGCAGCCCTCGATGTTGCAAATGAACTCATTGCACTCACCACAGTACCGGCGCTCGGTGCCGTGCTGGCACATGCCGCTGCCGCCGCATGGGATGCAATAATGTTTATCCTTCCCGTGCCGGCAGATGCTACTTCCTTGGCATTCGCGGCAGCGATGCTTGTGCTGCCCATGTCTGCAGATGCCCGTACCGCCGCATTCGCGACACGCAGCCTTGCGCTTCCCGTGTTTGCAGTAGGCGCTGCCGCCACACAGGAGGCACTGTGACATCACCCGCCTGTGCCTGCAGAGGCCGCTGCCATCACACTCGGGGCACACGGCTTTGCGTCGCCCGTGTTTGCAGACGCTGCCACCGCCACAAGGCGCGCAGTACTGCTTTCGCTTGCCGTGCGGGCACTTCTTGATGGTCTTCGCCATGGCTGATTGGTTTGACCCCTACAGGCGAACCCCCGCCCGCTGCCGCAGAGCCAAATCCAAGCCGCTGGGAGTTTGAACGAGGCCTTTCTACAGGCGCCCGGCGGAATGGCACCGGGGCGAACGCATTAGTCGAGGGAACTGACCCCGGCGCCCGAGAACGTCACGAGCTGGTAGGACAGCATGTGAATGAAGCACTGGTCCACGCGGTCCGCTTCCATATTCGAGAAGCTGAAGCGGCACAGATCGCCGGAGCAGGTCGAGATGCCCGAAAGGGGGGTGTTTCGGTACCCGCTCCACGGGGTAGGCCGCGATGAACTGGTTGTTTCCGTACAGGTTGTCCCGGATGCGCATGTTGCGCAGCTTCGAATCATAGGTGCCCGCGAGGATCTCGAGGAAGTGATGATGCTCCGCGATGCTCTCGTTGGCTGTGCGAGGGTACTGCAGCGCACCCAGCTGCAGCTGGCTCTTCAGGTTGCGCACGTTTGCTCCGGGGTACTCGAAGTTGTCGACGGTGTCCAGATCCGACCGGTTGAAGGTCACGAAGGCGCCCAGCATCTTCGTGAACGCGCGGGCCACGGTGATGTTGTAGCTGGTGGACCCGGCGGGGATGCTGGAGAGCTGCGTGTGGATGGTCGGGAAGGAAAAAACCAGGCTGCGCCCGCTTACGACGATGCGCGAAAATTGCTCGCGGAGGGCCGAATCGAGGGTGGCCTGGGAGGCGTAGAGCTTCACGTTCTCGATGGTGTAGTCCTGGCTTGCGCTGACGTTGCGGACCGCGTCCGAGGGGGTCGGCCCACAGTTGAAGATCCCGATCAGGTGCAGGCTCATGAGCACGGTGCGGGAGCCCGAGGCCGCGATCTCGGCGGCGTGACCCCCGCCGTCCGCCAGGAAGCCCTGGATGTGCCGGTTCAGCCACCACTCCTCGTTTTTGAGCAGGCCGTAGAGGTACGAGCAGCGGTTGTTGTAGGAGATGTCCTCGATGCGTGTGCCGTTGGCGAAGACCTCGATGCGGTCGATGAGGCAGCTGGGGTCCGGCGAGCCGAGCTGCAGCGTGGCCGTGTCGGAGTTGTTGCGCACCGTGAAGCCGAGCTTGACGCTCTCGCCGTCCACGAAGTCCATGCCGCTGGTCAGCGGTATGCGGCACACGCGGCTCGTGGTCGGCGTGAAGACGCTCAGGGAGCTCGGGTAGTACTGGACGTCCTTGCGGCTCTGCACGTAGTTAACGTTGCTCGTCTGGAGCTTGTAGTCGAGGCTCTGGACCAGCTCGTCGTTCACGGCAGCAGTCACCTGCTCCATGGTTTTACTCTACCGGAAAGATTTCACGCGGCCTCCGGCTCGCTCGCGCTGCGAAGCGCCTCGAAGGAAGGCGGCGGCGCCGCGCGGGACCTCTCTGAGGCCTGCGGTTGACGCTGCGTCCGAGGCCCGCGGGAGGAGTCACTGCCCGAGGACTGCGCCAGGGAGCGGGGTTGAGGCTTGTCGGGAAGCGCGTGGGCCTCGCGGGGCGGGCCTGCACTCTGGGTGCCATTGGGCCTGCGGCTGGCTGGGCCCGCGGCTCCGACTCGCCGTCGGTGTCCATGCGAACTCCTGCGTCCCATTCAAGGTCTGGATGTCGGGCGCGGAGCTGGGGCGGGAGGCGTCCGTGTCGGTGGCTCCTCCGCCGCCGCCCAAACCTAGGAGGTGCAGCGCCCACGCGGTGCCCACGAGCGCGGCTGCCCCGCCCGCCACGGCCAGGCCTCCCGCCGCCGCCCCCATGCCCGCGGCGGTGCCCAGTGCGGCCTCCCCGAAGAGCGCCAGAGCGCTCAGGCCCGCCGCGGCCTCCGCAGCCGTGGCCGCCTCCGCGGCCCCCGCGGCCACCTCGGCGGTGGACGCGAAGCCCTCCGTGGCCTCGGCCTCGGCCATCTGCTCGCTCATGAACTGCTCGATGTCTCGGGCCGCCCCGCGCTCCACCTCCTGGGCCCGCTGCCCCGCGCGCTCCAGGTGGGTCTTCTTCGCGACGTTTAGGCTCACGTCTCAAACCTCCCCTTCACACCCTCCTTGAAGCCTCCCTGTGAAGCTTCCCTTGAAGCCCCCCCTTCAAGCCCCCCTTGAAGCCCCC